TGGGTAAAAATTACGCACGGTCATCCGGCCCACCTGATGGTGAATGGTTACCTACCGTCGTCCATGGACACCAGCAACGCCAGGGGCAGAGCCAGGCCGCTACCTACCGCTTAATACTCTCCACAAGCCTCGTTTGAAGAAGGGCATGTCATAGGATTCCCTGTGTTATGGTACCAGAGATTGACATAGATACTTTTATACGTTGAAACATATACATATATAGATAATAGACATCCAGATAAAGAGCAATCCTGTTCATTACAAAATGTTTGCCCGATATGGGAATCGAACTCACCACCCTTGGCGCAACAGTCAGGGACGCTAACTGCACCATCGGGTCAATATATTGGATATAATTTAAGCTGTAAGTTAAATTTAAAAGGGCTTCTGATTACAGTTACAGTTTTTACATTGCATTTTACATTTATGTAGGTACATTGTCTTTGTAATTATAACTTTTATTATAAATCATGTAAACTACAAAATAGTATTGGCATTAATAATATATAAACATGTATTTGTGTATTTATGTATATAGATTTATGCTTATGTATGGTATGTATATATTTTTGTGTGTCTATTTGTAATTTAATATAGTTTTCATTGCACTATCTTTTGGTTGACTGATAGAGAATGCCTTAGGCATTAAGTCCGCCAATGTAATTTTACATGAAGTGTAATAAATAAACCATCAATTTTAAAATGTTGTTAATCTCACGCAATACAATTTTGTTTTGTATGTAGGTATATACTTAATTTAACAACATTCACACGGTGGTATATATCACAGCAAAACCAGCCGTCCGAATTCTGGCTCAACAACAATAATTTAACAACCTACCACCTCCTCTCCTCACTCACTACTCCTCAGTTCGAATTCAGTACAGCAATTCTCAGTGCATCAATCGCCGCCATTGTGAGACGTTGCGTCTCTCGCGTTTTCGGACCACAGATTAACTTATCCCAAACATTAATCCCGCGAAAAGGTATTTTTCAGCCAGTGTCAATTCTCAAAACATTCGTGTTAACTACATTGTTTTTTTTTTGAAGTGAAATCGTAAGAAAGTTTTTTTTAAATTGTTGTACAAACTTAACACACCTATTGAGGTGCTATTTGAATTGCTACCTATCTGAGTAGCATGGTTTAGTTTTTTCTTACTGGTTTCTTTCTCAATGGAACGTATGTATTATCGTGGACCTAAATTATCGCTAAGCATTAATTTTCTATGCACACTTTGTATTAAAGTCACATAAGCTTAACATCAGACTAAAACATTTGTTTATTATGTTTTTTTTTAGTATTATTAGCATGTTTTACTAACAGTGTGTACCAAGTTATAGTGTTTTTGGATGGCGCAATTAATTAGTTTCGTAATTTTATGATTAAAATGAAATTATAAATTTATAAAAAGCGTTATATAGCGTAATAATACAATGATTGACTAAGCTAGCTGCATCCGTTTATGTTCCACTAATACACATACTTAATGTGTTTATGTTTTTTTGTACTTTAAAATCTCTTGTGACCTTGTAATAGACATAATATATTACATACATATGGTTTATTTTAATGATATAAGAGAGCTCACAACTGGTTTCGTATTTATATTGTAGCTCTCTATCCTTTTCTTCAACGTCATCTGGTTTGAGCCCCGTGAGCTCACCTACTAGTTAAGGCGACGCTGATATAGCCTCTCAAGGCTATCTATCTATCAGCTTAGGTAGCAAAAAAAAAACTTTTCTCCAAACGCCTATCTGCTTCCGTCACAAATAGGCAGGATTATAGACGAACCCCGGCTAGCTCAAAATGAGATAATCGTTTTGCATAAAAATAAATAAATATTCTTAATGAATGTCTATCTACCATTATTGTGCACCAATCGTATAAAGCATTCGATTTAAATCTACAATATTAAATTTGATTTACATTTTTCATATGCAATCTCACAGTAGAGCTTTAAATTCCACATTATTTATTCCTTCCCTATAGTGTAATTAATATCTATATCTATATATATAAAAATGAATTGCTGTTCGTTAGTCTCCATAGATTATTATACTTAATATTCTCGCTAAAACTCGAGAACGGCTGGACCGATTTGGCTAATTTTGGTCTTGAAATATTTGTGGAAATCCATAGAAGTTTTAAAAGGTAAATAAATATGAAGATGCTCGGAATTAAATAATAATAAAAATTTTGTTCTTCCTTTGATGTGTCCTCCGTCGGACGGATTCCATTTGTTTCTTTTAAGTCTATTTTATACAAAAGTTTAGGTCTTTTATTTATCTATTAAGGCACTACGAAGTCTACCCGGTCAGCTAGTCTAAACTAAAACTCAATTATTAACAGATAATTATGATTGTTAATTGCTTGAAATGGAATAACAATACAGAGAACTTACTTTTCTGTCATGGGAACGGAAAAGGGGAATTTTCGAATGTTCATTACTTCAATGGTTTTTGCTAGTTTTTAAACTTAATTCCTATAGTATTTACCTATGAAGAGTTCGACAATAATACGCACGAAATTTACGAAATATTTTTAAGCACTGTCTGGTAGTAAATTATTTGTATACTGCTATAACAATATCACAAAGTTTAGACGTGTGTCCTCACGAATTCTCACAGTTGAAGGCATTTAGTGCCATGGTGATTTTCTTTTTTTTTCTTACTATTATCCCACACCATTTAGGTTCGCATGTTGTTTCTTCTACTGCATCCGTTTTCGTTTCTATGGTTTGCATTTTGTTACTATAAAAATTTTAAATTACAATTTCTTTAAGTAGGATTAAAAAACCAGTAACATTTTATTCGTTTCTCTGTATTTTTAGAAACGTCAAAAATGATTGTAAAAAAAGTTCGCCATGATTGTACAATAATATTCATTAATAATTCCGCTAACATATTATTGGATTATCAGCGGTTAAAGTCCTTGAACGCTGACATCCTTTCGTTCCGCACGAAAGCATGATTAGAGGACTTCTTTGCTTCTTAGGTAAAGCACGACTCAAGATCCGTCTGGTGTTACCAGAGCACATATCCAACTATAAACAAGATATCGAAGCACCAATTGTATTGTAACAATAACCGACTTACTTACCCTTCAATTGAATGCTCCAGTGCAGAAATATAGGTACAGGACGGTTCCTAAAGCCATTAAATTCGGCGCAATTAATTTTTATTCCGCTATATTTGCCAGTGATAACAAACGTTTTTTTTATTGCTTAGATGGGTGGACGAGCTCACAGCCCACGTGGTATTAAGTGGTTACTGGAGCCCATAGACATCCACAACGTAAATGCGCCACCCACCTTGAGATATAAGTTCTAAAGTGTTAAGTACAGTTACAACGGCTGCCCCACCCTTCAAACCGAAACGCATTACTGCTTCACCTAAAATGCCAAAAACCACTTTACTTTAAATGCCTTGCAGATGCGGTGTGCCTTCATCCTGCTGATAGCAGCTTTGTGCGCTCGAGCCGACGAGATCTGCCTTACGTCTGAAGAGGACCCGTATTTGCTATTCGGAACGAAGACCGCGTACATCTTTTCCAATCGTGGCATCCCAAACGCTAAAGCACATGAAGTACCAGGCAAGTTAGATTTCATAGATAACGTTATGTGCCACGGTTTATGGCAAAATATAATATTATTAGAGGCGACTTCCTCTTAAGTCAAAGTCGATGGGCGGAGCCATTGACGACGAGCACTCACGTGGACTCGTGACGTCATCTGGAGGGGCAACTCGTCATCTGGAGGGGCAACCGACCGACCAGCGGGGACATCACGCCACCTCGGATCACTTTGGCTGGAAGCGCGCGCAGCGTTCACTTGTCTTAGATTTAATATTCCGTGTCGATCATTCCAACCCACTTTTATATTTTTTATTTATTCAAATTATTAAGCCGTTGCTAAAATCAGAAGTGGGATAGGGCTTGTGCCCTATCCGCTTTTGGGTTATCCTGGCGTACAGTTTATTTTTAAAATTTGCATTAAATTAACAACGTAATGACCGATATACGTGTAACTGGAAGCAGGGTAGGAGGACGCTCGCATTCGCCGAATGTNCGGGCTCTTGGCCCGTCGACCGAGGGAACCGGCGGTCGTGTCGCTGGCGGCCGCCGGTCCGGCGTCTGGGGGACGGCGGGATGGATGTAATATGCTCTGCGTAAACCCTGTCCCGCCGTCTCAATAGCTCCGACTGGGTTCCCACCCGGTCCGGGGTAGGGCGCCGGCTGTGAGCGGCAGGAGTTTTTAGTGAGGTTCAACTACCACATACCCCACCCGCCGTGCGGGTGGGGATCCGGCGATTTTCTCCTGTGGAAAAAAAAAAAAAACCTTGATGAGCACCTGTATTTCAAGGTTTACCTCGACCTTAACCAAATTATATGTCACTCAAACACGTTACGAGTGAGGACAAATAAACCGAAAAATACGCGAATTATTTTCTCTGGCAAGAATGGTTCTCTGAAATAATGAAATAAGCTTCATCAAAACAATTTCGCTACAGAATATTCTTCCTGGCAAACGTATCTTTTGTTTCTTTGAAACATTCAGACCAATTTGAATCGTTAAACTTGATTACAGGATTTCTTTCGAATAGGCACAATGGCTCCAAAAACCGTTGCTTTCGAAAACAATGCAAAGGCATTACACGAAATTAGAATACATTTATTTGAATAAGGTTTTAACAGTAACTTTATATCGATTAATTCGTTTGCCTGTTTGTAAAGATTTCGATTTAGTAATATATTTTTATAATATATACTTTCGAATCAAGGAAAAACAAAAACAATACGTTCGTCTAGAGTTTAATTTATATCGTACGTTGGGAATTGTTTACATATATCCTATTGTCAGGCAAAAAAATCGCGCTAGCTGGTTGTACATATATATTCAAAATACACACAATATACTTTTAACATCAAGTAATATTGTTTACAAAAATAGACTACATAATAAAAATAACACAAATTTATATGTTCATTTCGTTGTTCCAGGATGACGTTCGCTTTAGCACTGGTAGTGGTGTTCGCTTGGAGTGTCCATGCTGGCGAGCCTGTTTTCGATCCAAGCACTCTCATGCGGCTAGTGCTGGTACCAGCAGACGCGGCCGTCGGCTCAGTCATTTACCGCGTCAGGGCCTCCGATCCTGATTTTGATTATCCATTGCATTTCGAGCTCATTGGTAAGTTTCAAAGGAGCATTCGACAGAGAAAAGATTTCGAAAAATTTCTATGCGCAATATAAAATTTATTAATATATTCCTTTTAATACTGTATAAACTATTATATGTATGTATGTATGTAGGTATATGTATATGTGATTGTAGATATATGTATATATAATATATACTTGTTTGTGTATGTATTTGTAACTTAATATAAATTTCATTGCACCTACCACTATTTACTCTGCACTGCCTTTGGTTGAGTGGTAGAGAATGCCTTAGGCATTTAGTCCAACAGTGTAAATTTTACATGAAGTGTTAAAAAAATATATGTTAATCTTTTTTATTACTGTAATATAGTCAATCAATACTTGTAGAAGAAAAGCTATTGGTAATTGAAAAAGGGCTAGACCTGTGCTACTCACCGATTCTTCTCGGTGGAGTAATGAGTGTGACAAATTTGAAAAGCATATCGCGGTAACAACAATTTTTATTTTTATTGCGTAGATGGGTGGACGAGCTCACAGCCCACCTAGTGTTAAGTGGTTACTGGAGCCCATAGACAACTACAACGTAAATGCGCCACCCACCCTGAGATATAAGTTATAAGGTCTCAGTATAGTTACAACGACTGCCCCACCCTTCAAACCGAAACGCATTACTAAATTAATTCTGTTTATGACGTAGAGATGGCAAATTTATTAACCGTTTCATTTTCTAATCGATTTATAAAAATATACCTTCTGTTCCTTTTTGTTCTAATATCACGCAATAATAGATGGCAAAAAAAATTAAAATTTTCTTAAAAACATATTTTAAGTAGTTCTTATAAATTTCCCGTAAATTAGAAAAACAAACATTAAATCTATGACTAAATTTTCTCAAAGTACTTTAAACTCAGATTCCTTATTTTCGAAATGAATCTAATGTTTGATGTGCACTAAAGTCGTAAATGCACGTTGCGGTGCATCAGAAACAAATCACAGTGTGCTGCGCTGCTCATTTAATTCCGCAGCAGGTTTATCCGGTGAGAAAATTAACAGCATCACTAAACATAAACATTATAATCCAACCCGATAATATTGAACGCCAATTGCTTTATTATTACGCAATTTAACGCATGATTTTCTCAGACATCATTCAATATCATAAACTACTGTCAATCTGGTGAAATATTAAATAACTCAATTATTTGAAAATCAATTTTGTTCTATGTTGCGAACTATTCGATCCGAAATCCTTTATAATCAGAATTGATTAATAAAGAATAAGGCCGACTAGACAAATGAGGAAAAACAAATGAGTGTATTGTTTTTTATTTTTTTATTGCATCGATGGATGCACGAGCTCACAGCGCACCTGGTGTTAAGTGGTTAGCAGAGCTCATAGACATCTACAACGCATTTAGTGCCACCCACCTTGAGATATGTGTTTTAAGGTCTCAGTATAGTTACAACGGCTGCCCCACCCTTCAAACCGAAACGCATTACTGCTTCACGGCAGAAATAGGCAGGGTGGTGGTCCCTACCTGTGCGGACTCGCAAGACGTCCTACCATCAGTAATAGAACGGTGTGATTTAAACCGTCCGAACATTGATTGATATTTAAACGTAAAACATTTTAATCGTAATCATTTATGTCTAGGTCAAATGGGTCGCTTAGACATCGGCATCGAGACACTCCCTTGCACACGTTACAACTCCGTGTGCCAAGCCAACGTGATCCTCCTCCGGAGATTGGAGCCAGGACGCTACGTGGACTTCAGGTTGTCGGTCAGAAATACCAGAGGACGAAGCAATCGCATCGCCTGTTCCATAACCGGCACTAATGCGACAACACCAAGGGACACGATTTTCCCTCATCAACCCAGCATAGTGCTAGTACCTGAGGTGAAATTCGAATACCAATTATTCTTTTAAAATTTATACACTATGGTATCTAATAGTGTTTACCGGTAATGACTATATTTTCTAGCTAATTCAAAACGAAACGGTAAAAGTTTTTACTGGCAAAATTCATCTCATTCATTCCATATTCGGAAAAGTGACTATTCCGGATATCTTGTTATTTTATTTTTTTTATTGTCCTTTTAGGCAGACGAGCATACGGCCCATCTTATAGTGAGTGGTTACCGTCGCCCATGGACTTTAGCAATGCCAGGGGCAGATCCAAGCCGCTACCNAGCTAATTCAAAACGAAACGGTAAAAGTTTTTACTGGCAAAATTCATCTCATTCATTCCATATTCGGAAAAGTGACTATTCCGGATATCTTGTTATTTTATTTTTTTTATTGTCCTTTTAGGCAGACGAGCATACGGCCCATCTTATAGTGAGTGGTTACCGTCGCCCATGGACTTTAGCAATGCCAGGGGCAGATCCAAGCCGCTACCTGCTGTTAAAATAGACAGTTGCCACTTTATCACCTATATCACTTTATTATCAGAATACACGTATACGTCTGCTACGATCAAGGAATAACATCGTTAATTAAAATGAAATCTGCAAAATGTATTACGTTGTTTCTGATGAGTCCGAACCAGTATTAGAGCAGCAAAATAACCAAAGCCCTGGTTTGAAAAGCTGTTACTAAATACAAGTCAAACATCCAGCTAGTGTGTCAAGTGGGTGCCGGCATTTGCTATGAATTGTTTAATGGACTCCAATAATTATACCCTAAATTCTCTAAGCTGTAATGCTTCGCTGCAAACATAGGCAGGATGCTGGTATCTACCCGTGGGGACTTACAATACGTCCTACCACCAGTAATATGGTAGTTATCATTTTCGCGGATTTTATTTTAGAAATGAGTCTTCGACCTCATGTCACAAGGTCGGTGGTGCGATTCGTGTTGTGATTGTCCATGGGCTCCGATAACTCGTTAACAGCAGAACTGTAAGATCCTTAAACTCTGTGGGCACGTAAAAAAAAATCCACACTTAAACTAAATAAACCGTTGCATCTACATTATGCAACTAGAGCTACATGGAAAAAACCAGTTTAACTCACACTTGAACAGATAAATTGCATCCGGCATCGTTAAAACTATAATTCGATTCATATTTTCTTGATGACAGTCATCGTCGGACAACTTATGCATTTCATGGGGCACTCAAATGACATCTGCATGTGATCGTTATCCAAAAATGGGATCAGAAAAATTAGTTGTTATTTATGATAAGTCTTGTGAAAGAACTGTTATGTTTTTTCTTTTTTCTTTTTAATTATGACTTTTAACGTTACTAGCTTGATATAATCGCGATATTTTAAAAGCTTTTCGTCTTTGCTGGAAACAGCGCGTTTTTTTTCCCGACCAGCTAATATTCATCACTACTTTTAAGTCGTGCTAAATAGTATAAGCATTTAATCGAGTTGTAGACATGATTAAAAATAATTTAAATTTTGCATTTAAACTACGTCTATTAAAGTACATTATGCGCTTTTATTAAGCACTAGCTGACCCGGCAGAGTTCGTAGTGCCTCAATTTATAAATAAAAGACCTAAACTTTTGTATAAAATAAATTTAAAACAAACAAAAGGAATCCGTCCGATGGGGGACACATCAAAACAAAATTGTTATTTTTATTTAATTCCGAGCATTTTCATATGTATCTACCTTTTAAACCTTCTCTGGACTTCCACAAATAATTTAAGACCAAAATTAGCCAAATTGGTCCAGCCGTTCTCGAGTTTTAGCGAGACTAACGAAAAGCAATTCATTTTTATATATAGAGATTAATCGTCCTGTTTTTAACATTCTAGAACACGCTATTTCCAAAGACTACACATATCGCGTCATTAGTCGTCTAATCTATGAAACTTCAAAGTTCATACATTACCCCATATAGCATTTCCATTTAAAAACCATTTTTGTTTGCAGGATGCGAAACGTGGTACAGAACTCGAGATTGTTATTGCCAGGAAGAACCCCCTGTCACCAAAACCTTTGGAATTGGAGCTCTGGGTGAGCAATTAATTTGCATTTTAATCGCGTGATACGTTAGACTACATACCTACATGGTATCAATTAATATTAAAAATCAATTCACATTTCACATACATTATGTCAAGAAACGCAAAAATAAAAACATTAAGTATCAAACATTTTACGAGAGGCTCTCAATTAATGCTGACACGTTTATTGTCATAAATATAATTTAGAAAATATAATGCAGAACCTGAAAAGGGAGATTTTTGTTGTTAAATTCATTATAAATTTTATATTACGTTATATTGTCACGATCCATTGAAATTCAATTAACAGCTGTGGAAATTTTATTTTAATATGTGACTGAATGATGCAACTGAATCCTTAAATAATATAATACATTTAAGAAACCAAGTGAGATAATTAAATTAGCTTCATAAAGTGGTTTTAGATGAGATGCGTGAAGTATGAACCACGCTTAGGGTCACCTAATGATATTTTCAAACGCCGCCGCTTGTTTGGCGCGAGTTTCATCGCAACCACATAATGAAGTTTTGCCTGTGCGTANTGTGACTGAATGATGCAACTGAATCCTTAAATAATATAATACATTTAAGAAACCAAGTGAGATAATTAAATTAGCTTCATAAAGTGGTTTTAGATGAGATGCGTGAAGTATGAACCACGCTTAGGGTCACCTAATGATATTTTCAAACGCCGCCGCTTGTTTGGCGCGAGTTTCATCGCAACCACATAATGAAGTTTTGCCTGTGCGTAATGGCTTATCATTTTCACGGCGATGCAACCCTAACACGGGAAAAGTAATTTTACATGGCTTCTCGCGGATAAAGGAAGTTGTGTATTATAGAGAAAATAGGCTGTTAAGGGAAGGCGGGATGCGTAATGAACTGTAAATTATAATAATCAAGTATAGTATTGAGTTAGAGCGAATTTTGCTTTCCAATGCATGTTAATTATCGAGTTCTTGTGTCAGTCTAGTGAAATGAAAATAACTGGTTTTTATTACTTACTATTTAATGAGTTAACATATTTGAAAAGACAAAAATTAAAACATATTTACTTTAATATCTGCTATAATGAAAATTTTAACACGCAGGCCTATACATAAACTATATGTAATATATGTAAATGAATGTTGCACTGTGTCCAATTATTAAGATCTTGGTAATTAATACTAAAATTGTCAATTTCTATCTTCTTTCTAAAATGAAGGTCATGAGACCCAAAGACGACTATGTCAGAGTTTAATTATTTTTTTAAAATGCCAAACTGATATGAGTTTACGAAATATTTCCACCGTCGACATTATTTAAGAGAAAACATACTAAAAAAATATTGAAATTCGTACAACAAGGCAGAAATTACTCCTTATCTTTATTGTATTTATCCTTCAGATAAAGTAGCCAGAATTAAAGATCTATGACCGCTGTCTATGGTAGCCGCTAAGCAATAGAGAATTCCTGATTTTTCCGTCGGAACTATAGCGATTAAAAGTGAAGCAAATCCAAAAAGGCTTCGAGTTTTAAATACGCCATTATTGTACATTAGACTTGAGGCGTTAAAAGTCCTGTAGTAACCGGAGAGTAGGCTGATTGCGTCCCAAGGCCATGGACTAACACGCTAATGGAGTTCATGTTTCACTTTTTTATACAAATATTCATGTCTTTTTAGCACATCATTTATTTTATTCTCATAATTTAACATTATATTTTTGGATATAACTTTAGATTTTATTTTCTTAGCAATTACATATAAATTCGTTTAATCTGTATCGCCGAGTTTGCGGTTTTATCGAATCGTGACAATTTTAATAATAAACAATATTTTACTCAAGCAAATAAGAATAAATAGCAATACAGTCGCTATGACGGTACGCATACCCGATCCTGTGGACCGAATGGTAAACAGTCGACGTCGCCCTAAACACGTCATTACGGATCGTCCCGATTCCATTAACGGCGCTTTTAGGCACCTCAAGCACCGGTCATCGTCCTCGTCGAACCCGTCGCTTGCGACGAAGGGCTCGAGGATTAAATTATCCCATAGACACAGAGCACTGAGTTTCTCGCCGGATCTTCTCAGTGGGTCGCGTTTCCGATCCGGTGGTAGATTCTGCGAAGCACTGCTCTTGCTAGGGCCAGTGTTAGCAACACTCCCGGCTTGAGGCCAGTGAGCTCACCTACATATACATCAAGGAGAAGCTGAAATAGCCTCCCAAGGCTATCAGCATAGGCAGGATAAAAAAAATTACGGTCCGTATCATAAAGGTGATTTAAACTAAATTAACAATAAAGCTTTCCCTCATTTGATTTAGTGTGCTCTTTAAAACAACAAGAACAATTAAACAAATTTAAATTAAGCGTAAAGTTTTATTTTTTTCCCAGGGTTCGCCTTTATTCGCCATACGCCAACGCAGAGTTTCAACAGAAAACACCGAGGGAACGATATTTCTGATTGGACCGCTAGACTTCGAAGCGCAATCGATGTACCATTTGACACTCCTGGCCGTGGTACGCTGTGTTTATTCAAATTAATTGAACTTATTTGCATAATTAGGACTAATTATGCCAGAGTCGAAACACCCTAGTTTAACATGTATCGGAATGAACTGCGATCGTGCTTGCAAAATACACTCAAAACGATCTTAATTGGATTTTATCGAACGACATTAAATTTTGTCCTTGTAGCTCACTGAAGTATTCTTCGCGAAATCTCAAACTAAGATTATAAAAATTACATTATATGTTTTAATTTATTCGTTAAGGCAATTTCAATTTTGTTACGGAAATTTCGAACACAAAATTTAAAGAAAATAACAATATGAATAAAAATAATCATAATAATATATATATTTATTAACATCAACAGCATGTTGAATCTATTAATTTCCTGAAGGGCAGTTTGCCAAGCCCATGTCAAACACTGTTTGAACCAAAATATGATTCCCTTGTTGTTAGTTACTCAATACCAGCAATTTCAATGATTCAAGATTGGTGGATTTTAAATTTTCTTTTAATATATTACTTTGTTTTCTTTCTTTGCAACTAAAGAATTCGAAAAATTTAAATCAGGCTTACCTACAAAAGAAATGCTTTTATAATAACAATTTAGCGGCTTGGCTATGCCCCTGGCATTGCGGATGATTATGAGTGATGGTATCTACTTACCATCGCTAGGCCATATTTTCGACATTTTCTTATATATTTACTGGTGGTAAGGCGTCTTATCAGTCCGCACGGTACGTACCACCACCCTGCCTATTTCTGCCTTGATGCAGTAATGCGTTTCGGTTTGAAGGGCGGCGCAGCCGTTGTACTGTTAAAAGTGAGACCTTAGAACTCACGTCTCAAAGTGGTGGCGGCATCCACGTTGTAGAAGTCCGATAACCACTTAACGTCAGGTGGGCNTATATATTTACTGGTGGTAAGGCGTCTTATCAGTCCGCACGGTACGTACCACCACCCTGCCTATTTCTGCCTTGATGCAGTAATGCGTTTCGGTTTGAAGGGCGGCGCAGCCGTTGTACTGTTAAAAGTGAGACCTTAGAACTCACGTCTCAAAGTGGTGGCGGCATCCACGTTGTAGAAGTCCGATAACCACTTAACGCCAGGTGAGCCGTGAGCTCGTCCATCCATCTAAGCTATAAAAAAAGCCTAAAAACCCAAAGTTTGTCATAACTACCATCGATTGATTATCTTATAAGCGGCATTTCACGTATTATAAACATGATTCGAACATTATTAAATAAGCCATGTTTCTTCCATCAGGACCCATACATCGAAGTGGGGAAGGATACGCGGAATATTGCCGGCCTAGAAGTAGTCGTCGTAGTTCAAGACGTACAAGATATGCCGCCAGTTTTTACTTCAGCACCTCCAATAACACATTTACCCAAACAAGTTGGTCCGGGTGATATGATAGTCAAAGTTCGAGCTGAAGACGGAGACAAGGGTGCGCCTAGGCAGATCAGATACGGCTTAGTGTCTGAAGGGAACCCATTTACACCATTCTTCAACATCAATGAAACTTCAGGTATTAAATTAAAGGCATTTTACGAATGAAAAAACCAGTTAAATTTGTTCAAGAGTTTTCTCGTGGTTATCTCTTGTCGTTAACTCTCGTGATCAAGTAGATCGACTGAAAAAATTATTAAAAATTAAATTTGCAATCAAACACATCTCGTATCACTATATTATTATCGTTTTTTAATTAAACTAAATAGCACAGCAATTATTTGTTACATTTTATAATTTAAATGGTATTAATAGTCCTAGCTTTCTCGGTTTTTAAAGAGCTGCTACCTTCATTATGCATTAAAGTAAACTATTATATTTACGACTACGTAATTATTACATTAATGCTGGTGCGTATAATAATTTTCAATGATGACCTTGCGGTGAATAGTCAAAGAGAAATGACTATCTATTAAAGAAGACATAAAACTACTGACTAGATAGCAAAGAGTATTTTCAGTCCTAGCAGATTTTCTCCGTAAAACTACATTTAGGTGCAAATCGCAGGGTCAGCGACTTTATAATGACTCTTGTTCCATACCTTGACATTCGTTATTTACGATTGGTCAAGTTCCAGGAATTGCTTTTATAATTTATAAGAAACACCTTCCCGCTGGGGTTAAAGGGATTGCAAACAATAATTAATCTTGTTCAATTTTATCGTGTACTTCGGAATAGTATTCATTTGATATAAACTGTTTAACTTGGATTCTAAATTCAATAACACTAAAAGATCTCTTGATTCACTTGGTTTTCAACGGCCATTGAAACCCATAGATATATTTTTTTTTGGTACAATTTTTCCTTGTTAGGAAAGGCAAGGGGATCTAAGCCCATACAGCCTTGTCTACTCTATATATTCTCTGAAATAATTTTTCAAAAAAGCCGAAGCCAGGTCTTATATGATATATATTAATATATCCTGAAATAATCTCAAAACATAAATAATTCCGGCGACCTTAATTAAGTCAAAATCACCATTTCATAGGCGTAACGGAATATAATAGCATTATTAAACCTTACCTAGCTAATTACGTTTTTACTTTACGATTCCTATATTGTGAAAATCATTTTGGGCACGTACAAACATAAAAACGTTGGTGCCAGCGTTAAAATTTGATATTTTTTTTTATTGCTAAGATGTGTGGACGTGCTCACAGCCCACCTGGTGTTAAGTGGTTACTGGAGCCCATAGACATCTACAACGTAAATGCGCCACACACCTTGAGATATAGTTCTAAGGTCTCAGTATAGTCACAACGGCTGCCCCACCCTTCAAACCGAAACGCATTACTGTTTCACGGCAGAAATAGGCGGGGCGGTGGTACCTACCCGTGCGGACTCACAAGAGGTCCTACCACNAAAAAAAAAAAAAAAAAAAAAAAAAAAAAAAAAATTATAAATGCAGTGAGCATTTAACCAAAAGCACGTAAATGGTTCTGAGTCTTCTACTAATACATTTTGTATAGCTTGCGTCAATATACCGAGGACTACGATTGAACGAAAATCTTCAGGAAATTATTTGAGCTGTTTTTACATCAAACTATTTCAAACCAGAGAGCTCGCAAAGTAGCAAAATTTATATAAATACCGCATCAAGTTCTCCAAGGGATAATTAATGTGTTAACTATCCCAAAACAGACAACGTTGCGAAAACTTTTGGGTCACATAAAGTCTGTTGTGTGCTTTACGGTAACAAACTTAGAGTTCCAGCTCCGAGTGAGACCCTAGCATAATCCCTAGTTTCTTAATAAACATTGCCAAATTTACGAAACTCAAAAAGAAAAATCATAATGAATAAACTGCTACTAACTACTGCATCGCCGAGCCAGTTTCTAGTAATGATTTCGTTTAATTTCAAAATAAACACCAAGTTTTGGGTAGAATGAGACCTTATGTCTATTATTTTCTGGAAAACATTCAAATTCATTCATCAGTCTCGCTGGTGACACTTATGATTAACATACCAACCTTATCACCAGTTTTGTAAATTAAAACTACGTACTCACAAAAAAAAACCGAGCCAATTTCCTTTCCTGATTTATACCTACCCTACATTTTGTGTTTAATTGCTTTTTCCACTCTACGGAATACTCGTGGTCAACAGTAGGTCAGAGCTATATATTTTTTGTTTGATACCATCGCTACGTAGTTCCGACGTCTCGCTTCCGTGGTATATCCTACTTACTTATCGCTCACCCGCACACTCGCCCTACTCTGCGTTGACTAAACATCAGAGTATAAGGACGCAATTTTTTGTGAATAAAAAATTTAATGGTTTGTCCTAAATTAAATTAAACCCACCTTCAGATATGTCGAATTGAAACTTTTCGAGGTTATCCGCACTTCAAGCTAATATATAATTTATTTGGATCTAATATCGTGCGAGACAGCTAAGATTTTGGTTTGTACACAATACACTATAGCAACCTTTCCCAAAGTAAGCGATAACGCCCCCTTGTGAATACTGCAGGCCTAAAGGGGGGCGGTAAGAGACACAGAAAAAAGGGGCGTTGTGTAGAAGCTTGGGAGGCGATTTGGAATTTCATCTAAGAGGACTCTTAGACATCGACTGAGCTCTCGTATATTGGTTTTTAAGTACGTGAAAAAATGGTGGATAAAAATAATTTATTCTCAAAGTGGGCATTCCCAAAGTTTAGAAGCCCCTGCACTATAATATTTGTTTCTCCTATGGTATTTTTACAAGTTAACCCTTTCTTGTAGTATCGTTGACAAACTTGTATTAGTCTCGACTGCTAATCATTGACAGCCCTATTTAAAGGTTTATAGCTTGCGTGCGCCACGTACAACAAAACACTATCAGATTTTGTTGGTAGCAATTTTCGATTGAACTTTGAATTTAACAGCTACAACTTTAGCGGTGAAACTTTTGTCATTTCGCTAGACAATTAACATGTTCGCTGTAGTATTAATTTCGTTGAACACTTAGCGGTTGGTCTCGATTGTGATAACCCGAGAAAACTGGCCCGCAAATTTATTTATTAAATCTACATCGTAGGTAACGAATTTGTATTAATAAATTAAATTATGTAATTTAAACATTCTGTATATTGGAAACAGAAATTGTGTATTTGAATATCGAAATACAATTGAATTAATTTCATATTGTTCAAATATATATGTATGATTTTTAAATTTGCATTTTCTCACGTCTTAGCACTTTATCCGATTAATGTAAGTACAATATGTAATATCCTAGAATAGGATCACCGCAGAGATACAAAATGGTGTTTGGATATTTTTTACAAATGTCTTTTTCTATTTGTTTTTAATTTTTAACTTTAAACGATTAATTTGAGTTAAATAGTCGTCGTGGCCTAAGAGGTAAAACGTCCGGTGCATTCGTGTTGAGCGATGCACCTGTGTTCGAGACCCAGGCGCGTACCAATTTTTCTAATGAAATACGTACTCAGCAAATGTTCACGATTGACTTCCACGGTGAAGGAATACCATCGTGTAATAAAAGTGAAACCCGCAAAATCATAATTTGCGTAATTACTGGTGGTAGGACCTCTTGTGAGTCCGCGCGGATAGGTACCACCGCCTAGCCTAATTCTGCCGTGAAGCAGTAATGAGTTTCGGTTTGAAGGGTGGGGCAGCCGTTGTAACTATACTGAGATCTTAGAACTTATATCTCAAGGTGGGTGGCGCATTTACTTTATAGAGGTCCATGGGCTCCAGTAAACACTTAACATCAGGTGGACTGTGAGCTCGTCCACCCATCTAAGCAATAAAAAAAAAACTTCAGTGCATAGTTAATAGTATAACCAAGTCATGAAGCTTGACTTTTCTTTCTATTGCTATAGTTTCACTGATTAGACTCCTAAAGCTAAAATTTAAATACTTTGTTGCTTCAGATCTACTTAGTTTAAAATCTAAGCACGATCTCTGACGCGTCCCTTGTTACGAGTTCAAATTAAACATTTATGGAGCTATAGGAATGCTCTAACGATATTCTAACAAAGCTACAAACAGCGGTACAGACACTAACAGCTTTAATACAAGCTAGCGTTCTCCTGACCAGAGCTATAATAGCTCATTAGGCCTTACCGGGCGCTGCGGCGTCTTTGTTTGTGAACTCGTGTTCAACAAAGGCACTTCCTTTGATATTGGAAACTAGTGTCCCTCTGTTTCGGAATTTTTAAACTTTTCTTTGAAATGTTAATTTTCTGCATTGTTAATCTTTTCAAGGTAACGCTATTCTATTCATTGATTTTTTTAATATCAAGGTATCCTGCACAAAATATTCAATCATAGTATTATTCAAGCTTTTCATGTTCAATACCAAGCTGATACCTACTGACTTATGAGTGTCAGAAATTTATACATACAAGTCAAGAGTAAATGCGTATATCCCGAACGAACAGATTTCCAAGTATATTTAACATAGATACTCTAGTAGCCATGTTCACATATTAAACAAACGAAGCTCTCATAGTATTTAACATTATTGGAGTAATCATTGGCGTAGATTTAAAAAATTAAGTAGAATTATTTTTATAAAGTCAATACACGAATACTCTTATTCGATTAATTGATAATATTTTGTAGTATGTAGGTCAATACTCATTATTGAATGATATATATTGATATAGCTTCATAATCTAAATAGAAATTTAAAAATCGAGTGAGAAAGTCTCCTAAAATATAAACAATTAGAAACACATTCATTATAAAATAATTTAATGGTGAACTTAAACTTATCTAAACCCCATACAGATTTGGAAAATATTCCAACGTATACCTCCCACGCGATACGACAATAATTAGATTATCTAAGATAACGCAAATAAAGACCTCAGAGAAATGCCCATTATATCGAAGCGTGGGTCTTACGGGGGCGTGTTATCCCATTAATTTCTTAGTTAAAGGCCGTAAAACTCCGTAAAATACATTAAAGAGCTATTCCTGCCAATTTATATAGTTGTCGGGGTGTCGTGAAATTCATATCGTCAATAAGTCTTCAATCATAATCATTTCTTAACTCATAAAATTGCCATAATCCAATTCTATAATACCTTTATCAAATTTTAGTAGCTTTGCCTCATAACAACAGTATTTTAAAAACAAATGAATTAAAATTGATGTGAAACAAAGAAGAAGGTCGCTCCCTAGATTGTTATCTTACTTTAGCCTGTTGCCTATTCCAGAACTTTCTTAGCTATTTAACATAAACCTAAGAATATTCAGACATGTACTAGGGGAACAAAGAAATCTAAATCAGATTACACGTGTATTCCAGTTCGTTTCATATACATACATGTGTATGTATATAAAACATTTATCATAATTTCAAGCCTTAACTAATTTTATTGCAAAAAATTCAATTTTATTTGCTTGTAAGAAAAGACAAATGATATTGTTTGCAAACATTTAAATACGACTTTTGAGCATCGTCACTACTTACTTCATGTTTTAAATTACTTTTTCTTTTAATTTACTCTAGTGCGTGTTTTAATTAAAATTCTTAGTGAACATTATTTAACTCGTCAACTAATGGGCTGTCTAATTAGACAACTAACCTTGAAATAATATTCTAGACTTGTACGAATAGAAAAAATTCTCCAATTTAGGTACATATTTACATGGTGGATCTATTAAGATCTTAACGAAGGACATAAATAACTACTTAATACAGAAAAATGTGTGAAGTTTAATTTAAATTTAATTTAATTCATGTAATTTAAATTATAAATAAATTTAAAAATATTGATAGCAGATTTTCGATTTTAAAGCTTATAATCACTGAGATTGTATGGGCAGACGAGTCAATACAACTACTACTTATTTATAAATATAAGCGTTTACTCCCAGCGTACGAGATGGCAAAAAAATTGAAATCACCGGTGCTGGTGCTTTCACAAAACAATCAAAATAAAGTAATACATGGATGCAATTTAACGTAAATGCCGCCACCTATCTCGAGACATAAGTTCTAGGTCCCAGTTTTTACAGTACCGCGTTAAAAATCGAAACGCATTACTGCTTCACGGCAGAAATAGACAGGCTGGTGGTACGAACCCGTGCGCGTTCACAAGATACCCCACCACCAGTAATTAACACAAATGGTACTAAATAAGTTTTCACTTTAAAAGGCAGTCGTGAATGTGCCAAGACAGATGGCGACAGGCATATCAATTTTTCTATGGTTAGGTACTTCATCGGCCCCTCTACTCACAAGTCATAAAGAAATGTATTATTTATGAGAACGCAGCATATATAATGTTCATAGATGACAGTTGAGATCTTTATTCATTCACAATATGTTAATCGGAACAATACTTTTGTATGCTAATTACTCGTGTCTCGAGACGAATATTTCCTCTGAAATTAAATAAACCTTTCTATAACACCGAGACATGTACGGAGATTAGGTTTGTTTCAGATTTGAGCATTGTTTAAAAATATTGGTGTTGTGTTGACTAACTTTTGCGAATTCTCAAACACGAGTAACTAAAAACTAGGTAAACTAAAAAAAGGTATCGTGAGAGTTTAATATCGAGGTCTCGAAAGCGGGCGAGAAAGTGTAGAAAAATTTGTCTACTACATTCTACCCGCAGTCATCACCATAGATAAATAATACACTTAAAATTTTCACTCTTCAGTACCTATACTTGTTTTTTTTTCTACCTGTGCTGTTAGCCTTGAGAGGCTATTTTAGCTTCTCCTTGACGTGTGGGTGAGCTTTCGGGGCTCAAGCCGGAGGTGTTGCTAGCACTGGTCCAAGCAAGAGCAGTGCTTCGCTTTGCATTCGCTTAATTTACTCGTCGAGCCCTTCGTCGCAAGCAAAGGGTTCGGCGAGGACGGTGGCCGGACATACCTGTGATCACGGCGCCCGCAACGACGCTACAGTTGCATTGATTTTCTTTAAAATTTTATAAATTCTGTTTTACACTTGAACTGGGTACATGATTTTTTTCTATTTTAATATCATCATCTTCTTCTCTTCTCTTCTCTTCTCTTCAGGGTCTGCTTGAAAAAATAATAATAGTGTAAATCTACGAGTATGTTAAGTTCTGTTAAAATTTAACATTCCAAAAGCTTTGCTTAGGAAGTCTAAACCTATTATTAAAACTTTTAAATAAGAAATCGTGGACTTTATGTAATAAAAACTTAAGGACCATGTTATAAAATGTTTGGTAGCAGAACTAGCAGGGCTTTAACAGTAAAAATTACGAAATCACACAAAGGATTAAATATTTTGATTTCAGCGCCATCTTGCGCTTTTTTGTCTAACTGACTGTCCATGCCAAATGTGAATTACGCTAAACAACTGATTTTGTTAGTATCTATCCAAATTGGAGTATAGAGGTCGCTACAATGTGAAACTATTTCTTAATCAAGGCAGTCTCATTTTGTAAAAAATATATTAAGGGCATATAAAGCTCTCTCTTCGAAAAATAAATCGTGGCGACGCATTTTCTCGTTGCTCTTTGAAAGAAGGATAAATCAATTTCGGATTTATTTCGTGGTCCTGGTGAATGCCATCACCAGCCTCAAGATATGAATTCTAAGTCTCAATTGTATATATAGCATAATAGCTATCCTATCCTTTAAACTCAATGTAGAAATAAATAAGGATTTTTTATCAGACACCGATATAAAAATGTATTTATATTTTTCCTTTCCAGGCGAAGTGACTCTTGAACGCCCAATTGAGGAGATAGCGGCGATTTCTCATGCCGGTGCACCAATCTTATTAACAGTGGTCGCCGAAGAAGTAAGGCTGTCTCGAGAGGAACCCGAAGCGATGTCTTCCACTGTACAGCTTGCCTTCATTCTACCTGAACGAGATAATTCTCCTCCGTACTTTGAAAATCAATTGTAAGTTACTTCATCTGATTCGATTGCTATTTTATTTCCAATTATTATCGGATTTTTTTAATTGAATATGTCATAATATTTAATATCTATATATTATATTTATAATATTTATACTTATCGAACTTTTTTTAAAACCACTATATAAATGCTTTTCAAAACCTTGACACAGGAATAAAGTCACAAAACCATTGAAACAATGACTATAATGCAATACAATGGATTCACGAAAATACTGAGCAGGATCGATTCTTGAAGATTCGCTGCAAACCATACCGAATTAAGTACCAACGCAATAGACACTTGATACTTGCTTTATAATCGAACCATAGCATCCATCGTGCATATACATTACGCAGTTTATTTGTTAGGCTACTACTCGGTAATTGTTATTTCTTGGTTGTTCCAAAATTTTTTTTTTTTTTATTTCCAGTTATATAACTTACCTAGATGAGAACGCACCCCAGGGAACGGCACTTGTATTCAACGACCCCTACATTCCGCAAGTTAACGACAACGATGCCGGCAAGAATGGTGTCTTCGCACTATCTCTCGTCGGCAATAATGGGACCTTCGAAATATCACCGACCGTTGCAGAGAGACACGCGCAATTCCTCATCAAAGTACGAGACAATACAATGTTGGACTATGAAGCACGAAAATCTGTCATATTTCAGGTAGGCTAAGGTTGTTTTTACAACGTTACATCAAAATTTTTAAGCTACTAGACGTACTCGCCCGCTTCGCTGGACATTTAAAATTAACATTACTAGTGGTCCCACTGTAGTCGAAATTCGACTATAATTAATTAAAATTATAAGTTTGAACATTATTAATGTTCTATTGTCAAAGACTATCATACTTCTATAATCACAGATTTCGCCAAGACTATACAAATATTAATAAAGATAAACAATATTAATCTATTCTCAATTTGACCACAGCAAAGTCTGCGCAGCAAATGCAGTGACAAAAGTTTGACAGTAAATAAAGGGTATATATATATGTGTGTGTGTCTAATGTTTTTTTATTGGATTAATGTATTATTAGTGCATAATTTAAAAAAAAAAATTAGGATTCTGCAGTCCTTCTCTATATCCTCTGTAGGTGTGCGAAATTTTATACTCCTCCGTCCGCGCAATTTGCGTAAAAAGGGGTACAAAGTTTTTGCTTCATGTATTAATATATAAATTATTTATTGTCATTATTATTAAGGAGTCCAACACTCATATAAATATTAGCCTATCCATTAAGTACAAAGATACCATGTTTCAAGTCAATCGGATGCATGGTTCAGTAGTTATAACGGAACATCCGTAAAAACCACTGTAGATTTATATATAGGTATTAGTTTATATAGATGTAATATTAATCGCTGTTCAATATTATCGTTTCAGATCACGGCTCAAGAATTGGGTCCAGCCACAAATTTATCGGCGACAGCCAATGTAACGGTTTACTTAAATGACGTAAACGANGTTTCAAGTCAATCGGATGCATGGTTCAGTAGTTATAACGGAACATCCGTAAAAACCACTGTAGATTTATATATAGGTATTAGTTTATATAGATGTAATATTAATCGCTGTTCAATATTATCGTTTCAGATCACGGCTCAAGAATTGGGTCCAGCCACAAATTTATCGGCGACAGCCAATGTAACGGTTTACTTAAATGACGTAAACGATAATCCGCCCGTATTCTTGGCGCAATCTTACGACGTGGAACTGCCTGAGAATGTTACTGCGGGAACTAGGGTTGTCCAAGTAGCGGCAGACGATGTAGACACGGGAGCTTTTGGAAAGATCCAATTCACTGCCATATTAGGGTACTTGAACACGTCGCTACATTTGGACCCTTTGTCTGGGTTGATCACCGTTGCGACGAACAATCATGGCTTCGATAGAGAAGCAATGCCAGATTTGCATTTTTTAGTAGAGGCTAGAGACAATGACGGAGTAGGTTTAAGAGTTACTGTGCCATTAATTATTAAGTTATTAGATGTAAACGATAACCCACCAGAATTCGAAAGATCGCTGTACGAGTTTGTCTTATCACCGACTTTGAACAACTTTACGTCTCAAGCGTTCGTCAAGGCTATAGATAAAGACGCTGAGCCACCAAATAATGTAGTAAGATACGAAATCATTAATGGAAACCTCAACGGTCAGTTTGCTGTCAATGAAGAAACAGGTAAACAATTAGTTATTATTGTATTAAGAATTGAATACTTTTTAAATTACTATAAATTCAAATTTTAATTTATTAAACAGGTGAACTGTACTTACTGCAAAAACTAAAAAGAACAAAGAAACAAAATGTAAATAGAAGAAGACGTCAAGCAGACTCTCAACAGGAGAGCGACGTTTACGTTCTGAATGTGCGAGCTTACGACCTCGGAGTTCCGAGATTATTCTCTTCGACTTTGGTGAAAATCTATCCTCCGGAAAGCAAAACAAGGACAATGTCATTTATAGTACCCGGGGCTGATCCGGATAGAAAAAAATTAGAAGAGGTTCTCAGTACGCTGTCCGGAGGAAAAGTCACGATAATCGATATCAAACCATATACAGGAGGCGATGGTGCTGCTACAGATTTAAGCGGCCGAGAATATCAAGAGAAGTACGTACAGTTTCTTTTTTAATATATTTTTTTATTGCTGAGATGGGTGGACGAGCTCACAGCTCGCCTGGTTTTAAGTGGTTACTGAAGCCCATAGACATCTACGACGTAAATGCGCCACCCACCTTAAGATATAAGTTCTAAGGTCTCAAGTATAGTTACAACGGCTGCCCCACCCTTCAAACCGAAACGCATTACTGCTTCACGGCAGAAATAGGCAGAGCGGTGGAACCTACCCGCGCGGACTCACAAGAGGTCCTACTACCAGTACAAATATTGTATCTTAAGAAAAATTAATTTTATTATTATGAAAATATTAAGTCTTGATCAACTTGTTTATGGTTCATTCACGTTAACAACATAAAGTAAATGACACGGTCTCCTTCGAGAGGCGAGGTATTGGGTCCGCAACCGAGTCCTTTTTCTTTTAATGAAAATGCAACTTAGTTGTGAAAAAATTATTACAATTTACTAACTTATATTTATTTAATCAACAGTATTATAATCCGGCCATTTTACCTTTAAAACCAAAATAGAGTGTACTGCTACGACCTATGTATGTGATAAGGGAATGCGGTAGCATCTATATCTATAATCTATCTATAAGTAGATGTGGCCAGGGTCGCGTATCCGCTTATTCTGATTTTATAGGCAAACAGTATGTTATTAATTTAGAATCCTCTGACCTCATTATACAACTATTAATTGCTATTGCTAACGATACGTTAAAAAATTCCAGAAGTGAAGTGATGGCCATAGTACATACAACCGGAAGTACTGCAATCAATGTAGCAAAACTCCAAGAGCAGTTAGCGAAAAATATGACAATATACACAACTGGCACTGGTTCTAGTAACGGTATTACCAATACAGGAAGTAATAATGAAAACGGCCAAGCATCCGATGATAGTGCAGATTCGGTAAGAAAAAAAAATATTTTTTAATTTTATCTTTTGGGCTAATTGGAAATAACGGAGTCGTGGTACTTCAGGCTACACTTATGTCCTGTAATCAGTATGACCACGTTTCCAAATATGTTAGAAGTTAGATGATTTTCCTAGTTTTGTTTCTTAAATATCAGTTTCCTGTGTCATTGTTAATGTTATTTTTTCTTTCAGAGTATATACAAAGCAGAGAGCCGCCTACTTTTCTGGCTCTTGATACTTTTAGCTATACTAGTAGCTCTGGTACTATTACTATTAATATGCTGCTGCATTTGTGAAGGATGCCCACTTTATATGCCTCCTAGGTAAATATACTATTTATTAACTATTTCAAAGTATGCAAGCTTATAAATTATCGCACTTTGTAGCTGCATATTTTCAACATTAGGTCCTTAAATATTGTAAGGAATTTATGAAACTTTCTAAATTTTTATAGCACGGAAAATTATTGGTGTAGGTGTTCTGCCTCTACCTGCAATTTCGTTTGAACGTCTTGCTGACTATTTTCAACTAACACAATTTATTTTTATTAACAGACTAAGCACCAACTAATACCACAGCACAGCTTTGTCACAGTTTATTAGGTAATCAGTTAAATATTATCATTTTATCTTGGCCTAATGTGATCATCAATTATATCATCATCATGATATGATCATCAATAACATTAAATATACCACAAAAAAGTAGATGTTGAATTCCGTAGTGATGTTACTTCTCATGAAAATTAGTTATTAAATAAGAATAACTGAATACTAACAGTAGCGTAGTAATAATATTAAATTGCACTTTGATTGCTTTTGGTACACCAAAGAAATACAATCAATATATATACGTATCATAACAAAGATAGGTACATAGATATCCATTAATAAATTCTAGGAAAAGAGTGATACGTGTCAACTCCACAGAAGACGACGTGCGTTTAGTGGTCCGGGACAAGGGACTTGGGAGGGAAAACAAGAACCAAAACATAGAGAATAAATCAATTCAAGCAACAGAATGGAGAAAGAGGGAAGCGTGGAGTGCAGAACAAGCAGACTTGAGGACTAAACCAACACAATGGAAATTCAATAAAAGAAATTATCGTGCAAAAGGACCGTCTAAGCCGTCTTCGACTCCTGGTGGTGATATACGTCAAGAATTTGTTCACGCTGCAGCTGACAATGATTACAAATACGACGGACAGCAATCGTTTCGTATGAGGTAATTAAAATAATTCATGAAAACAAGGCCAATTTTAGGCTAACTAATCCCGCGAGCATCTTTCTATTATTATATTTTTAAATATTTTTATTACGACAATGTGACAGCATGTTAAAATAAGTTTTATTGATATTTCAGAGAGGGACCAAACATTATCTACACTAAAGAGATGCAGATCGAACAAGCTTTCACAAATAAACACAAAGAGTATATAGATGATCTAGAAAATGGCTACGATAGAATTGCTACTTTACATCACAACAGAAGGGATCAAGATAACGATTCAATGCGTAGGCATGAAATAGATAGAGGTTCTGAAGTCGACGTTTATCTTAAAGATGGTGAAGAAAGAGAAAAAAATGAAAAACAAAAGCAAAGTTTTCAAGACAAAGCACATGCTCAATCCTCAATGGGTCGAGATCAATATTTTATAAAAGAAGGTAACACTGAAATTCTTCGTTTAGTGACTAGAGGTAAAAATGAAGAAGAAACATATGTTAATTTACCAGGTCATCAACAAAGACCGGTTACGTTAATACCTCACACTCAATATGTTGTGGTAGATAGTGGTAAAAATTTACTATTAGAAAGATTCATTAGAGAACAAGGCGAAGAAGCAAAAAGTATGAGAGAAAGAATGGAAAAGGTAACGGATTTAGATAATGTATCTATGGGAAGAGATGCCAAAAGTATCGGTCATGTTTCGGGAGCAGCTGAGGTTACTCATCACTTTCATGACTATTCAAATATACCTCCTGATGTCCCTGGCGCGGTCCCAAAAGATAATTATTTCCAGTCAGCTCTACTTCAAATGCAAAACAAATCAACAATTCATCAAGAGCTCTTAGAGTCATCGCTTCGAAAGCAAAATGAACTATTACATCAAATTTTAATCGAACGCGAAAGAATTTTACAGAATCATGAAACCGCTTCCCAAGTTGAAAATAAATTAGAAACTCAGAGCTTACCGGGCCACTCCGTAATGGCAACCCAAACTGAATGTCATATTGGAACGCAAACTGAACCACAACTCCTACAATCAACAAGGCGAAAAGCTAGAAGTGACAACGATTCCTACAGTGAAGATGAGTCACAGATAGCATTACAAGATGATCCTAAAAGTATAGCTTGGGTTAAAAGAAAAAAACCTAAAAAAAAGCTACGACATAAAGACCCGAGGCGAAGTATACGAATATATGATTTAAGGAGAAAAATTAAAACGCCGATTTACGAAGAAAGTGAAATATCTCCGTCATTAGAAAGTGAGAAATTCGTTAAAATAAGTAAAACTAATGAAAGAGAAGAACACATTAAAAATTACGGCGACGTTACCAAAAGCTTTATAACAACCTCGAAAAATGAAACAGTTTGTTCTACACAAATCAAAATCTCTGATATTGATAAAAAAACGAATTTACGAAAAGAAGTTTTAATGGAAATTTCAGACTCGTTGGATGAGAAAATCGATTCGGATTTAAGCGAAAAACGTCTGCGATTGCAAAGACAGGCAGCGCAGCATGATGATGATACTGGTAGTTCAAAGCTCAAACTTTCACTCAGTCCCGAGGAAAACAATAAAAGTAGAAGCAGTTCTGCCTCTAAAGATGAAAGAAACAAAGTTTTTTCAAGACAAGGTTCATCGACCGAAGCTCGCGAAGAAGCAGAGCTCTCGGCAAGAATTAAAACACCAGAACTTGGTGAATCGTCGTCACAAAGAAAAACTACAAACAGCAATGAGTCTGGTATTCATGGCAAAAAGAAAGCAGTGGAAGAAACAAGTAAGACATCCGACAGCAAAACTTCACAAAAAAGTTTACCTCGCTATATGCAATGGTATGGAAAAAAGTCCAGCGCCACATCCAAAGCCACTGCCCCTGAAAAAGTAATACCGAACAAACCAAAAAGAATATCGAAAATTAAGACTGACCAAGATGAAAAAGATCGTTCCGGTAGGTACGGAAAAATTTTAAGCAAAGAAACCCACAGTGACAACGCAGAGCTAAAAAAAAACTCCAAAGGAAAAGAAAGTGAATTCATTCATCCGCGAATCTTAAAAGAAGGTAAGGTGACTCCTGTGCCTGAAGGACCGCTTCCAGATGCGCACCCACTCTTACAACATTCCGAACACAGATATGAACGTCAATACGAAAACCAGAATCCACTGTGTCACGTTCAACAAACACACATTCCAAAATACTTCGGACAACACAACGTTCCAATATTACCTCCAAGACAATCTGTAGAACAGCCGATATACGTGAATCAAGACGACGTCAAAACAAAGGTAATTAACCAAGACATTGCAGAAAGTGCGTTAACTCACAGTATTTCAATATCTACGAACTATGACGAAGATCGAAAAATTTCTTCCGAAGTACATGTATCTAAAGTTAACATTGGAGGAGATTTGGATCTCCAGCCAAGAAATATTACTGCCTTGGACGACAATGACTCTGGGATCGCAATGAACACATTAGTTCAACACGCTGGTAATTTCAAAAGACTACCCATCACTGAGAAAAAAAGCGTTTTTACTATAGCCTATGACGATGTTCAAACCAACAATAAACAACTAAGACCAGATAGCAGCTCCACGTCTTACTGAAGAATAATTGATTTATATTTTATATAATATGATCCTACCAAATGTGATTAGTGCCTTATTGTTACTAAGCTTACCTAAAACTGAGAGAAACGAATACATTCCATTCCGTCCAGTATTTTAGCTGATTAATAATAACAAACTCTTAAAATGTAAATAGTATTATTACATAAATATTTTTAATTAGGGTAATATTTTTGTGAATTCTGTTTAACATGACTGTCCATATAAGTAATAATCGTTTCTTTGTGTAAATATGATTGTTATTGTAATAAGATTACCATAGTAATATTTATATGTTAAAGATATTGTAGTTTTAATATATTTGTAACAACAACATAATTTTTGTAAATATTTTTTTATCTCTCCTAGTGAACACTGACACAGTCGTTTGATTATTTGTTACAAAACATGAAATTATATATACTTATTTAAAATGGCAAAATGTTTTATTGGTATTTAGTACATAATGCGATAGAATTTTCATTCGACTTTGTTTACTAAAAAAAACAAAGCGTTATGAATATTTGTACTTCAGCATTTTAAGTTTAGTTACGCTCTTATTCATAATAAACTGATAGTGAAGGATATGTTGATTGAAATCCAAAATGAATGTTATTATAACCCTGAAAGTGTCAATACCACTTTTTGACAATATTCTTATAATGGTCATTATAACCAGCAATATGTCGTTAAGAATAAGACCGCAAGACAAAGAATAAAAAATGTTAACCAAGCTTGTTGAATTCAATAACACCATTACGAATTTTAAAAAAATACAAAATAAAACCGACCATTGCAGCTAGTTCTTGGTAAAGTAATTTTTACTTAATAAAAGATAATTTGAAAGGAACAAGGGTTTAGTGGCTCTAATAAAAACTGTGATTCAAATGAAGTGAGTGAGCTTCTTGATAAAAACGATTTGTTTTAAAAAAAAAAACCTTTATAATCTTCCAACAATCATACGAGGTCACCGAGGATCGCGCAAGTGCAAAAATATAGATAAGATTAAAATTAAATAACCTCATTTATGAAGTAATATTTCAAACAAATAAAATAAAATACACTTTCGCGACGTGTTTTGTTTGGGCAGTGAGTGCGACGAGGCAGCGTGTGTGCGGTTTCCGAGTGGAAAATCTCGCGGTTCCTTCCTAATACTTTTACAGGTACTAAGATCGCATAGGCAAAAGGAGATCGTAAATAATTTGTCTGTGTCAATGTTGCTTCATCTACTCATCGCTAGATGTCAGTATAAAGCCTTTTTAAGCGTTCAATAGGTGGCGTTAAACACCTTGAAACTTTTCAGACCAAAAATAAATTAATTTATTTTTAGTTTGAAAAGTGTACGTTTATTTGCTTGTTTGGAACGTTTTAGTTATATCTTCATGAATTTAAGGCATGATCAAAAGAAGTATTTCTTGTTTTGAAATGAAATTAATGCACAGTTGTTTTACATTTCTGCTTATTTCTATATATTTCTATATATAGACCACTAGACCACCAATGGAAAAATTTAGAAAAGAACACAATTTAATAAAAAAGTTTACTTTCATCTTTTAATAAACATACCTGAGATTAAACCCTTTGTTATTTTTTTGTAGTTGGTACATTTTTTAATTGTCTTGTTACAATGGGAATAATTATCTTGAAAGTTAAATCATATCTATCACATGGTAAAAAACGGCAAATCAAAACATTTTTCTTCTTCCTTAAATGAGCGGACGTGCTTCACGGCCTAATTGTAGTAACAAAATAAATGCTGCCATCTACCTTGATACATAAATTCTGATTCTCATTTTTATGGACCAACGGTTGTCTTAGCCTTCAAACCGAAATACTACTGCAGAAATCGCGGCAGAAATAGGCAGGGTGGTGGTATCTACCTGTGCGGACTCACAATACGCCCTACGGAGAGTGATTACGTAAATTTTTAATTTTTCGGAATTAATTTCTATTACGTGGTATTATTTTCTCATCGTGGAAGTTGTTACTGAACATTTAGCACATTTATTTCATTAGGAAAATTGGCACCCGCCTGCGGGATTCGATCACCGGCACAGTCGCATTCCTCGATACGAATGTACTGGGCGTCTTATCCTTTATATCTTTTCCGTCAAAACTTTTTCTTCCTACCTATTCGCTGGTAAGGGCTATTGAAGTTACGCGCGGACGGGTAGGTGATCTCACGGGCTTGATCTGATCGAATTTGATAACATACACATAGACATCTACAACGTAAATACGCCACCCACCTTGAGATATAAGTTCTAAGGTCTCAAGCATAGTTACGATGGCTACCCTACCCTTCAAAACGAAACGCATTATTGCTTCACGGCAGAAATAGGCAGGGTGGTGGTACCTACCCGCGCGGACTCACAAGAGGTCCTACCACCAGTAAGAAGATTCTGAGAAGATTCGGCGAGAAACTCATTGGGTTGTGTCTATGGGTTAGTTCGCACTTCGAACTTTTCGACGAGGACGGCGACCGTTGCCACTTAAAACTGTATCTATGAATTTATTCATTAGGTGTTAGAAATTGTACTATGTGAATTGTTTTTGGTAAGGTTAAGGTTAATTGTCACATTTGAACCACTTTGACATTAAATTGCAGAGTTCGTAATCTTTTAGAAATAACATCAACATTATTGACATTGTTATGCAAATAATAATTTTAAACATTGTTTCATTTCGTTCGCTTAATCATTCGCATGAACAGTTTTTCATTCCGCCCATTTGCAAACGCGAGTCGCGCGGAAAATTATTTCTTTTCACATTCTCATTTTTCATGTCTTACTTTAAGTTTTCTCAATATAAAGATGTTTTTTTTTTCATTTTCTCTTATTATTTCGGCGCTAATTTACCTAGGTTCGATATATTCACTCGACGACTCGTTTTTGGTAATAATTAATGAAAAGAATTACTTTTACAAAAATAAAATCAAATATGAAATCGTATACAAGCTGAGTGAGTGAACTCAAGCCAAGCTAACTTTGAAATGAATTTTCTTTTATAAATTATCTGAATGAACTACTGCAACTTTTATTAAGAAAGTACCAGGGAGACAGAAACAGACATGAGGTATGGAAATTACGGTTCCCCGTGGCAACTTGCTTTCACGGTCCACTGAACTGATCATAATAAAAACTCGCGCCGTCGCCTTCGCGCCAAAGTTTGACCATAAATTCCGTGGTCGGTCCCAGTAATCGTGCGACGCTCGCCGACGGCGAAATTCTCCCTAAGATCTGTTTTATAATAATAAATATCACCAAGTATAACACTACTTTTTTTTCAAAGTTTTTTCTCTTTCCTTGTTTTCCCGGGGGCGAGCTGTAGCCATTAAAAAGGTTAGGGCGAGCGATATTTTATGCGTTTTTAAGTGTGTAACGGTTCTAATGTCCATTTTATTGTACGTTGAATTATGAGGGCACAATCTCCACCACAGCATAATATAATACATAGACAATAAGATCCCAATTCATTCAGGTATTTCATTTTTTTTCTAAAGGGATTTTATGACCTGTTTACTAAGTCCTTTAAATCTTCAGGTATTTGAACTTCAGGTAGTACTAGTGTTGTCGGATTATAGTTTCATGTCAGTTTCTACCATAAAGTAATCATACGTTCCATTTTCAAAGATAAAAAAATAACATATAAAATAGTCCATACTCCGGAGCTGGTCTATGACTCTATTTACATTTTATATTTTTATTATTATCTTACTTGTCGAGCTCCGAAGTGATCTTCGTAAAACATTGATCATAGGTTCGATCCGTTGAGTTTCTCGCTGAATCTTCTCAGATCACGATTCCGATCGGATAGTAGATGTATTCGCTAAGCAGCTGCCCTTGAGCTTTTTCTAAGGACGTTCAAGCAGTTTTTACCAGCCCTTACCGTCCTAGCTGAAGGCTGGAGCTCACCCACTCTTCTTGGCAAATCTGGAAAGACCACCAGATATACTTTCATCCCAAAAAAAAAGCAGAACATTGCTTTCTGCTAAGACCAGCTGGGTATTATTGCCCTATACCAATCTGTGGGAGTAAAACACTTATAAGGTAATACAAGCTCTCTGATATTCATTGAAAAGGAAACAAATTTTCTGACAAACTTGCTTCCTCAGATTTGATTTCACCGATGTGAAATAGAATGGCGTCTAATATCTCTTATTATTCCCCGCCGGAGAGGGTTAACTCTGAAGTATCATTGCGATTTATTAATGGTCAAGTTTAACCCCACTACAGCCCGTGGTGCCGTCCAAATTAGGACTGATTGCTGTTACTGAATTATTAAATTGGCGCCATTTGTTCTGAAATGTTTTAATATCTTGAAGATTTATTTTGAGGCGAATTCAATTATGTTATTTCTGATCTGTTTTATTTCAAGATAAATGTTTAGAGATTGTATATTTTATGATTTTTTTGACTTTTTATAGTCCTTTTAGGCAGACACGAGCACACGACCTACCTGATGGTGAGTGGTTACCGTCACCCATAGACTTCAGCAATGCCAATGCCAATGATTGTATACAGGGTTTTTTTTTGGTCTAAAATTTTCTCGTACAGAGAGGGAGTATTCACATTATTTGTTTACGATACGACTCCCTTGACGGTAAGTGATCACCGATCACGCTGTGAAGATTAGCAACGTCAGGGTCATAGTCAACAACGGGGTATTCCGGGACACAAACAGCACCTACTGGAGCGACCTGATGAGCTGCCGTGACGGCTGACGGAGAGTCATCGCTGATCGAATTAACGACTGCGTCGGCAAGGCGTTCTCGAGGAGAGCTACGTGTCTGCTTGTGGAATATACCGTGGAACTCATCCTACCATTCTCTCGGATCGTTTGGAACCTCTGGGTCTGCGGAGGGACTTCGGTTCCCTCTGTATTTTGTACCGTATGTTCCATGGGGAGTGCTCTGAGGAATTGTTCGAGATGATACCGACATCTAGTTTTTACCATCGCACCGCGCGCCACCGGAGTAGAGTTCATCCATACTACCTGGAGCCACTGCGGTCATCCACAGTGCGTTTCCAGAGATCTTTTTCTTTTCCAGGAGCTCCCCTCCACGGTGTTTCCCGAGCGCTATGACATGTCCTTCTTCAAACTAGGCTTGTGGAGAGTATTAAGCGGTAGGCAGCGGCTTGGCTCTGCCCCTGGCATTGCTGAACTTCATTGGCGACGGTTACCACTCACCATCAGGTGGGCCGTATGCTCGTCTGCCTACAAGGGAAATAAAAAATAAAAAAACCTTTCTCGGGTTTTACCTTGGGCGATGATCGTGTGTCGGACGAAAGTGCTGAGAAGTCATTCTGTAATATCTTTTTTTTTTTTGCTTAGATGGGTGGACGAGCTCACAGTCCACCTGGTGTTAAGGGGTTACTGGAGCCCATAGACATTTACAATGCAACTGTGCCGCCCACCTTGAGATATA